TGACCACATCCCTGGGCAGCCACCCTCTGGGAGAAAAACTTTTTCCTGAAATCCAGCCTAAACCTCCCCTGACTCAGCCTCACGCCGTTCCTTCAGATCCTATTGCTGTGGCAAGAATTAAGAGATCAGTACCGGCCCTTCCTCTTCCTCTCATGAGCATCTCGAAAACCACAGTGAGGTGTCCCCTCAGTCTCTTCCAGATCTAACAAACCAAGTGAGCTCTTAAGGCTTCACTTCCAGACCTTTCTCCATCTTCGTGGCCTCCTTTGGACCCTCATAAAATAGTTTGGCTTGGAGGGGAACTTAAAGCTTCTTTATTTCCAACCTCCTGCCATGGGCAGGGACACCTTCCTCTAGACCAGGGCTTGCCTCAGAGCTCCATCCCACTATGCCATTATTTATATATAGAAGTTCAGAGTTAATAACTTTTCAAGCAAAGCCCTCCATTATGATTAATTAAGTAGTTTTCATACAAGTTTAATCTCAGCTCAAGGAAAGGGTCTTTACCAGGGCTGGGGCCACACAAGGGTTCTACATCTGGCACAGACAGCCAGAAACTACCTAAAAAGCTGCAGAAACTACAACTAAAATGTTATAAATTAATGTGTGATTTAAAAAATATGATTAGTGTTTTGAGAATTAATACAGCTTGTGAGCACCTTTAAGTGACATGTACAGATCCTATGCATATAGTCATTATTATCCTACACTTACTCTCTATATGTAGGGAAAACAGCCAGCACTAACAAACAGAAATTTTTGTATTTTATGATACTCCACAACTGCTGAACTTCTCAGGACTGCTGAACAAAAGTGTAAAATGTGCTATTTTGCTCTAGCTCACTGTACTTAAAACACTCTTGGTCCTGTGGAAGCATCCAAACAGGTGCTCTCTCACAGCAAAGCTCAGACTAAAAAAAAAAAAAAAAAAAAAAAAAAAAAAAAATATATATATATATATATATACATATACATATATATATATATATATATACATATACATATATATATATATATATATATATATATATATACATATACATATATATATATATATATATATATATACTGTCACTTGGAAACAGTGTTTTCCATTTTCATAGCAGGACAGGGTTTACAGGTGAAGAGGCCAAAGCAGAGGAGGGATGCTTCTTTTAAGTGAAGGACTTTTCCACCTCAACACTTTTTTCCCCCATCAGGTACTATGACCAGAAAGTCTTTCCTTCCTTTTTCTCTAAAACAAATAGGAAACTAGAGAAGTCCACAACCCATACCATAACCTGTATTACTAAAATGAAGTCATTGCTTTCCAGCACTACCACGCTGGCATGTATCATGAGTACAAAACATAATTTAAGTATAATTAAATTAACAAATTCCTCTGCTCAGTAAAGGTGATTTTTTAAATCCATCTTTGCTATCTTAATTCTTCACTTTCTGTTCATATTTACAGTTTCAGCAGTCCTGGCAGCTGCCATTCATTTGTTGCCTGCCTCATAATTTTTGATGACTTCTGTTTGTTTGTTACTTTGGTTTCATCCCTGTTTTTTTTTACGTAAAATCTCTATTTTTCGTAACAGGAATAAACAAACATATTTTTCTTCTTGGGTGTGAAGAAAAAGTAAAACATAAACTTGCAAAAATTAAAAGACAAATAAATCTCACTGTTTTAAAGCTAAGCAATGTATGTCTCTGTGCACAAGCAATAATTACATTCATATACGTGTACCTGTTTTGGTATGATTTTTTTGTCAGGAAAAATAAGATTCTTTTTTAATTAATGAAATTAGTGGTATCAGTTTAATAATCTCACTCTCTATTGCACCACTATAGGCATTTTCAGATAATTATCGAAGATTTGTTTAAAGAGAAAAAAAAAAAGGAAAAAGCTAAGGGAAAAAAATTACAGAAGGCTTCTGAAAAAGGCATTAATTTTTTTTTTTTTCAGATTCCAGTATGTCTAACTAGATAACTAAATTAGGTGAGGCAAAAGAACAGAAAAATGTTTAGGAGAGACATTTTTGACAATAAAATTGAAGAAAGATGCTATTTCAATCAGAAATGTCACTTTATACCACTTTCTGATATTAATAACCTAACGTTTCTAGGTTCTCATATACTGCCACGGAGGCAGATAGGAAGAGTATTTTTCACCTTGAAGGGTCCCGAAGCACTTGCAAGAGGCAGTGATGAACATCCAGGGCCATTGCTTGTGCTCTGACACAGCTCTGGCTGGAGGTGATGGGCATCTGCACTGCCACACACCTGCAGCCAGTAAAGCTGAATGGGGCCTTTCCCTGTGGAGCAGATACAGAGCTGGATAAGGACATTTTGCTGTGTTACTCTCTGCTGCCACTTCTGTGTGTCCTTCACTTGCCATTTGTGGCAACACCTGTGCTAAATGATAAAAGCAAGCACCATGGGCTGTTGCCCTGAGTCAAGTAGTTCATATGACTCACAGCTACCCTCTCTTGATCTGGCCCCTGCAGAGTGGTCTATCCATATCCCAACTGGGTGATCTCTTCTGACTTCTGAGCGTCAGTGACCCCTCTTGTGGCCAAAAGATATGATTATTTATGTGTGTGTTTTCCAGCTCTAAATGCTGGATTTAGTATCAGACTGTGCTGGCTCAGGTTTCCCAGAGAAGTCTTGGTTGCCCTATCTCTGGAAATGTTCACGGCCAGGTTGGATGGAGCTTGAAGCAATATGGTGTAGTGGAAGATGTCCCTGTCCGTGGCAGAGGAGGAGGTTGGAACTAGAGGATCCTTAAGATCCCCTCCAATCCAAACCATTCTGTGGTTCTATGATCCTGTGATATAAGGATTGCTTTACTGCCTGTGGGACGGTTTTGTGGTGTGACACCTAGGGCACATCATGAAAGTGCTTTGTGGTGGTGGTGTGTTTCTGGTTTTGGCCTCTTGAAGTAGGGCAGGATTATTCCAAGTGTTGCATTTCAAATGAAGCACACCTTTTCACCTGTTGCTGATCTGCAGCACACCCATAAGCAAACTCTCCTGGCAACTCTGCTTGGGTTTCTTCCTTAAGGAGACTAATAAATATATGCCACAACAGAGCCCAGGAGTGAACTAGTATGCAACTACATAGATGTTGATAGCCGGAACACGTTCTAGAAGCAAACAAGTGTCAAAATTCATGATGCTCCAAGTGCATTGTGAAGCAAATTCTGACCTTCATTGTGCCAACAGAAAAAGGAGCATCTGTCCTGTCGCCCTGGTTTTTTAAGTTCTTCTAAACCTTCTGATGTTTACATTCTGTAACAAACTTCCTCACACACTTTCCTCTAAATGCTTACTGTTTTTCATTCTTTTCTGGAGGACGAAAACTTTGAGGGACTGTTGGTTTGTTCAGTGTCATTGGAGAGGTGTCACTGTCATCCTCCAATCCACTGTCACTTTTGGAAATCTGTTAATGTTGGAGTCAGAATTAAACTTTCTCTCTTTTTACCTTGAAGATTTTGTTTTGTGTCCTAGAGTGACATGTCCCTTCTAGCTTGGGGTGAAGCTGAGAATGACATGAGGGACTGTTAGGAGTTACTGGTGGCCAGTCCCTCATGCTTATGTCCCACAACCTCATTTCAGGGAGTTGTGTGCCCAAGCAATGCCATAGAAATCAGTCTCCTGCTCTATCACAGCCCTGCCTGACCCAGCCATGGATTTCACTGAGGCAGTTCCCAGTCTTAGACTAAGGTCCCCACAGAGATGCCTGATGACCTGGTCTGGACCTGCTCTGGCAGCACTGCAAGTCTTCCTTTCTTTCTGGTGGATGCAGTGGGAAAGCCCCTGGCTTTCCAGAAACATATTCTTGTAGTGCTCTAACATATACCTGAGTGTTTGGTCTTGAAACACCAATTTAACTCAGCATATGTAAGTTTTTAAAATTTCTTTGGAAAAAAGTACACCAAGAGGAGTCTATTTTTTTCTCATGAAAACTGTAAGTAACTGGCTAGATGTAACTAGATTTAGTTACTTGCTGATATTACGCCATTCTTGTCATTGGAAAAAATATAGCAAGCATAGGATTGACACTCTTCATTGCTCTGCTCATGCATTAGAATCTCCCCTACCCCTGTTCTGTTTTTCAGTCTGATAGTTTGTCAGCTCCCAGAAGTCTGATGAGGTGAAGCATTGAGAAAATAGTGGGAGCAATAGAGAGGTCTGCTGCTGACACAATTCTCTTTGGAGGGAATGGAGCTATTTTTCTTGTTTTGAAGCAGAAGTGTCACTTGCAGTTCACATTCGACTGATAGCCACAGAGAAATACGTAACCTTTCCATCCCACCAAGAAATATATCCCATCTTCCAGAGGACAGCACTGATTCCTCACACACCATCTATTTTCTGCTGGTGGGACTACCACGATACGGAAGAGGACTGATCAGATATCCAGCCATGCCCCACATTGCTTGTAAAGATTTTCAGCAAAGTTGTTGGAAGTAGCTATGTTGTCAGACTTGTTTTATCTTTCCTGAATGTGGACATCTGTCTGCTAAAAACTGGACTCAGACATCTAGGAGCTATACATAACCCAACCCTTAGTGCATCTGTCAGACGATAATCACTTTCGCTCACTAATGAACTGGAACAAAACTGACTTGGCAACTGCCTTTTTCCCTCTAGGAATATCCTGAGAAAGACTTTACATGCTGGGTGTACAGCAGAGAGAGTTTCTGCTATTCAAATACCACAGCGGTGATCAGGTTTTCAGAACCACAGTGGAGGGGTGGTTAGCACATTGTATTTTCTTTAAAAATGGATAAGAATGGAGTTATAGAAAAGAGCACACCTTGCCTTCCATTGATTTATGGAGTTTTACCTAGTAAGTTTCACTTTCCACCTGATTTTATATGTTTCTATTATTCCATGGCTGAGTAGTACTGTCTAGTATATGCCCAGCCTGTTCTCATTAAGTGACCCTGTGAGTGAACAAAGTCTCTTGTTTCCCCAACCTTCTGTCCAAAATCCTTCTGTGTGCTCAAATGAACCCAGGACTGGCCAGCATCTATTACCTCTTCACCCACTCAGTCTCATCCTTTCCTGTTACCAGCAGCACCAGCTATTCAGTCTGTCTCAGCAAGCTCCACTTTACAAGCTCCACTAAGACCATGAGATGGGTGTGCTAATTCCTGGTAAGAAACAACATTTTAATTTTGACGCAGCCATAGGGGTCTGTTTTCTCTCAGCCCAATCCAGATCAGTGCATTTTAGGTAATTTTAGGAGCCCAATCCTCCCAATTCTTACCTTGCTCCTCAGACATTTGTCATATCAGTAAGTCAGCCCTGTCCTCAGTTGCCATTGATGGAATTAAAAAATCATAGAATCATTCAGGTTGAAAAAGATCTTTGAGATCATCAAGTCCAGCCATGAACCCAGCACTGCCAAACTTTCTCCTAACCTATGTCTCCATGTTCCACATCCCCATGTCTTTTAAAATCTCACCACAACTGATGAAATGATGAAATGATGGAGAAGATGGGCACGTGAGTTACACTTACAATTTGAGTTCTCCAGGGAATAGGTAGACATAAACTAGAGTATTATTAAATTAATTTTTGATAATAATGAAAGATTTGTTCTAATCCATTAAAAAAGGTATGGATTTGCCTTTTTGTTGTCAGTACCCTCAGGTTTCATCATATCAGCGGAATGTGAAGCACTGGGCTTCTTTAAACATTTAATTCCCATTGAAATGACAACAAAGCTCTGGACTTTCAGAATAAGCCTCTGAAATAACTCTCTTTGGAGGGAGTCCCTGAACTCATTCATCTCTATATAACTTGAACTCAATATATTAAGTTGCACTAGGGAAGAGTTTGGCCCATTAACTTTAGTTTTCTAATGCTGTTTAGTCAATAAGCCATTTAATTCCCAAAACAAGGAAGGGGAAGGAATAATAATAATGGGAAACATGAAATGTCAACACTGCCAATTCAGAAGGGGGAAAAAAAAAAAAGCTAAACCCAAACCAGAATACTGTGTCAGGTCATCAGTTAGAGAAAATCAGTGTAAGTTAAGTTCAGTGAAATCAAGTAAATTATATTCAGTTACCTCAGATCAAGTCCTGTCATGTAGTTACATAATTTTGGGGTTTTCAGTTCTTTCTCCCCTGCCCCCATCATAAAATTTATTAAAAAAAAAAATCCCCAGTCTGCTAGATTTTGCAAGTTCAGTAGTCTGTTAACTGAGTAAGTAAAGATATAATGAAAGCAATAAGTGCTGAAACATCACACATGCAGTACATATCTCCAGCCAGTCCAATTTTATGCCTAAGAAGACTGGCAGAGTTCCTGCTGCGATTCAAATCTTATGTCAAATTTATAAACTTGTTTTCTCCATTCTCCTCTCCTATCCCCGTGCCCCATCAATCAGAGCTTATACCTGCACAAAAGGCTGATCCATCATTAAGGAGGCAGGTTGCAGCCAAATGTAAATCTGCACTTAAAAAAAAAAAAAGAAGGAATAATACTCATGCTGTAGGGCAGGGTCACCCTCTGACCCTAGGCAATCTGCCTCTCAATCTGCAGAACACAGGCTGAAATAATGTGTCCATCGAACAAGCAGTAAACTTTTCTGCTTCTGCCTTTTTGAAGATTCTTGGAGTTGCTGCATCTGCCGGCTGACACTCTGTCTGACTTTTAAAATATGAAAATCTCCTCCATATGCATTGAGCTCAGTTTTCTACTTAGCATTTCAAGAGCCCTAAGGACCTTCAGGGAAAAAAAAAAAAAAACATATTCTGAATTTTCAATTTTGATGACAATTTGCTTTCCCTACAGGATGTGCAGAAACACCTTGAAAAACTTGTCAGCTGCTAAAGGAAATGTTCTTTGCCATGGGAATGAGAGCACATCACTTTCAACTAACTTAGGGAAAGCAAGTTTGACTCTGCACCCCATGCTTCCCCAAAGTAGCTGAACATCTCTTTTAGGTTGTTCCAAATAAGAAGCAACAATAATAACAACTTAAAAAAAAATAACAAACATAGAATCCCACAAATATAGGTTTTGACCATACAGTAAAGAAAAATTAAGTCCATCCATCCATCCATCCATCCAGTTGCAGACGACTCCCATTTTCACAGCATCCAAATCCAAATAAGGATTCAGGCCATAAACAAAAGATTATTATTTCTTTAAAATTAAATTGTTGTGTTGGGATACATGACTTTCCCTAGTCTGGGCTAGTCTCCCCTTGGATTAGAGTCAAGGAAGGAGACAATAATACTCAAGAGCAGTACAGTCATGCTCACCCTCAGTAATTGCATGAGGTCAGCATGCTCCACTATTTGCAGTCCTTTTTTTCTCAGAGAGGTTGTAAAGAGAGCCTAGATGACCTACTTGTATTAAACCCAGTGTTTATAAGCTAATATTAAACAGGGTGAATCCCCTCCTTTAGCTGAGGTTTATGTATTTTCTCTGTAACTTCCACATCACTAAAGGGCACACTGGAAGTGTTAATTCTCCAAGCACCAGACATTGTGCAAATTTTTCAGGGTGTGTTGGATTTTGTATCTTCTGTGCTGCAGAGGAAAGGTGCTCAGGAACTGGGAACATGAAGCTCAATGTTTTCTTCTCCCACCAACATTAAGGACAAAACCATAATTGACCCTGAAGTGTTCAGATACAAGTTGTGGGGATCCCTGCTCAGAAAACCCCAGGTTACAGAATTCACTGGATGCTCAGTATTCAGCCTTCATTAGCGATCTACAGCCAGATGAACCACAAGCTGAGCTAGGAACAGGGGTGATAAGTTTTCATTTCAGGGTTTATGTTCCAGCATTAGACAGAAATTATCTTTAAACTAGTTTCTGACACTGGACTGATGACAGTTGGGGTTTTTGTTTGTTGGTTGGTTTGTTTGTTTGTTTGACATTACAGTATTTTCATGTTTTACATGGGCTAGACGAAGTGTATGAATTCTAACATAATTTAGCATTTCTGCGGCTAATCCCGGTTTAGCTGTGACACAGACAAATCTGGTATTAAGCAAAGAAGTTGTTGCACAAACACAGAAAATGCTGCCTCTCTTCCTTTCAGTGGACTCAGAAATTCACACCAGAGCAGTCAGTTAGAATATTCAATTTATACTGCAGACTATTTAAATGTTTTAAAATGGGAACATTCATTACAAATGCCTTCTCTAACCTTTTATTCAGGGTGAGATGCAAATAAAGCAGTGACTGATAAAGGGAGACATGAAAATGAATATGTATGTTTGCATAAGCTGTATTTCTCTGCTGCTGTGGAACAAATTCTGCTCTTAGTCCCATTTAAGCATTCTCTGCTGATTTCAGTGTAGTTATGAGCATGCAGCTGAGGCCAGGATAAATCCTTCCGTCCATCTATTGAATGATCAAACCATATTTATTATGGATCCCATTTCAATGTGGAAGTGAAACAGGCCTTGATCTCAAGGGCAGGCTCTGCAGCATCGTCTCCGCAGCCTGTGACATGATATGGGTATAAGCCTCACTCCAGTGGGTGCTCATGTTGGCTACACAGGGAAAAAAGCCCCACATGCCTCTGAAAAATCCTGGGGAGCAGTCAGAGAGACACCAGCAATTAGAAACCTGTTATTTTCTTTTAAAAGGTAGTTAATAAAAAATAGAAGTGCTAAGCTCAAAAAAGCAAGTTGAAAATTCATAATCAATTTTGTCATTGCCTTTCTTTCTTATTGGTAGGAAAAAATTACTCACTTTTCTCCCACCCTCAGATAAGACTAGGCTTTTGCACTCTATTAACCCCAGGGACTAAAAGATAGACTGTTTTCTAACAGGTGAATTAGTGCTAGATAGCATTACCACAAATGCCAAGTCATTAAACATGTAATTGGATTTTTTTTTTTTTTGCTATCTTAACTTTTCTACGTTATAAAGGATCTTTACAAATTAATGACAGAATATGAAGCTGCCCTGAGAGCTATTTGCCCATTAAAAACAGGCATGAAAAACTCCTATCCCCATCACATAGAGAACTATCCCACCAATTTCCAATTACTTCTGCCACTGACAGTTCACTGGACTGTTAAGTTATATTTTGCACCATGCTGCTTAATGTGTTTAAGTCAGGCAGGTATTTTCTGCTTTTCTTTTTTCTTTCTTCTTCTTATTTCTAATTTTTTCCTCTGATTGTAAAGCAATTAAGCAATGTCAGTAATGAAAAAGCAGAATTTTAGTACTATAAAGGCACGGTTAATTTAAAGATGGATTCCTATAAATCACTGAATATATGCTCCTTGCACCCTGGTCCAAAAATGTTTCTCTAAGTTTATTCAGGACCTGCAGTAAAAGCCTGTCCTATGTCATTCACAGACATACAGAGGCAAGAAGCCTTAGTAAAAAGCTAAAGAACTCACTTTTGTATAAGATAATGACAATGATAATATTAGACCTAATGGTAATAAGGAAAAGGATTCACAGTGTCTTTTTTTCCTTCCATTTTATGAGAACCTTCAATTGTAAATGCAGTAAAATATGGAAAAATGCCACTTATGTGAAGAATTGGAAACAAAAAAAATGTTAGAAGCCCTTTGATGGGAAAACCTAAGTGATGGTTGTGTTAGCTTTACTATTAGGTGATCTAGTCCTTAAAGAGAGATGTTAGTGGTATCACTGAGAATTGAATATGGCAGTGAAGCACCCCGTGTCCATGGATACCCCCCAAGAGTTAGAGCTACTGGGGCAGCTGTGTTCTGTGTGTTGTGTGTGGTTTCACTTTTCACAAACCTCACCTCCTTTAGGTGCTTCTGATATATCCAGTAAGGCATCTCCACTTTGTAGGTTGGTGATTAAGTAACACAAAATTCAGAAGATTGTTATATGCAATTTCTAGGACTTAAATGGGATTTAGGGGAATATTTATTAAATAAAAAATAATCCATCTCAGCATGGCCAAGAATGAGATAGCCAAAATGTAAATGGACTTAATAAAAATGTGTCAGATGTGGACTTTCCTTCAGGTTGCTGGTAGGATTCCTTTTGAACCAGTTGATACCAGTGCTATCATTTGTGAGCTTAGGGGGAATTGTAACTTAGCCATATCTGACTTAAAAAGAGAGATAATCAGTTATTATTCACAGAAGTTGTGTGATGTCTGTGAGTCATTTCAGTGATGCAACTAGAGGAAAGGA